ATCAGTGCAGCCCGAAGTGCAACACTGAAGTACAAAGCTGTACTGTAAGTGGTTCAGAGATGTTAGAAGTTGGCATATATCTACTGCTAATGACCGTGGTTATGGGGTGTGTGTGGTCAGTGCCTGAAAAGCGTGCCCTGAGATATCGGTACTCATCCGTCACGGAAGTCGTTCGGGGTTAGTGGTGAGCTGAAGTCCCCAGGGACCTGCTCTGACTTGCCCGTCAAGAATTCTTGGCATCCAGTTTGCTGGCACTGGGTGGTAGGATATTAACGTGGCAAGATGTACAGTTAATATGGTTGTTAACAATCAATAAACTCCTTTTAACTCACTGCTGCCTAGTGAGAATCTCACCTTGATTCATGGAACCTAATTAAAAGATGCAGCGAGTTGTTCCTGATGTTGAGAAGTCACTAAACTCCTCACATGACCCTGCCACATTTTTTGCCATAGTCCACCATTATTCAGTCCCCTGTAAGGTTCTACCCTACATTGTCTCGCAGCAGATGCTGTCCAATCTTCTAAGCATTTCCAGCAATTTCTCTTATCCAAAGAATTTTGGATTTGACTTTTTATTTTGGCATTCTTGTCAAATCCATGGAACATCCAGTTAGCAACCCTCAAATTGCAGCAGAAGAATTTTACAATGAGTAGTTAAAAGTAACTTGAGCTGCTAAGCAAAAGGTAAAATCTTGTAAGGCAACAGTAGTGATTGATTGACCAATTATGGACCCTAAATGTTTAATTGCACCCCTAATTAAACGTTAGGTATTCACAACAATGAAACGTTAAATTTTTAAAATATTGCATTATTAAACTATAATGCCACTGGATATGTTGGAGTAAACATAAATTACAGCATTCAAATTTATCACATTATCTTAGTATTCTTTTACATATTAATTATTCTTCAGGCTTTTAATATGTTGGAAAATAAAAGGAAATCTGGGTACTTATTATACAATGTAAAATACATTTTGATCATTAATTAATGAAATTAAAAGGAATTGTATATTTCTGTGACTCACATCATCTATCAAAATAATTAACTCTTTTGCTCAGTTGACAATAACTGATAGTTCACTGAACATGATTCTAACCAGTTGAAGAAACCAATGTTGTTCTAAGTTTCCAACTGACAATTTAAAAAAATGCATACATACACTGGTTCTGAATTGTACATCAAAAATAGGGCTTCATAATAATGGAAAGGGTTGCATAATTCAAAATGTTGCCGCAAGAAGATTTTATGGATCATCATGGAATATATTTTAGCACAACCCTTTACACTGAACTGCACTTATAATCATGACTGTAGAAATCACCCAACATAATGCACCAATTCCTACAAGATTAAAATTTTCATTCCTTACAAACCAATAACCAATAACATACTTGCCTCATAATGAAAAATAGTTGTGAAAATTCCAACAAAATAATCATTTTAAAAGCAACACAAACCTAAACATAACATAGTCCATCCTCAAATGCTCAAAATCTTTCCTTTTTTTTTAATTGTGTCTCTCTGATTTCCATAAATAAATGGAAGTAAAAATGGTAATTAGGAAGTTCAGTGCATTTCCTGGGAACAATTTTACCAAATGGAATCCACAGGAACAATCTGGAAGTCCACTGTGTTTCCTGGGAACAATTTTACCAAATGCAATCCATAATTACCGAGACATTACTATAAGTTACTGAGGAACTTCTTGATCCACATCTACAACATTAAAAAGCTATCACTGGAATATACATTTCATGAAAAAATATGAAAACTAAACATAAAAAGTTCAGAAAGTTGTCCGTTCCCTTAACATTGTGTATTTTTCCTTTGAACTTTTCAAAGCAGACTGGCAGTAGAAATTGCCATAAGATGTTACTTTTGGCATTGAACAGTATTTTCAGGAACAGATGAAGTTGACTCTTTGAAACATCAAAGAGTAACACTATTATGGATGAATAGCACATAATTGCTTTCAGCCTTAACTCAGATTTTGTTATTTTTCACGGATGATTTGCATTTTTCTTTGATATTCTCAGCAGCTAAAGCTTATTATAGTGAAAAAGTTGATGTAAACTTCAACTTCAAGAAGTGAGGGAATGACAGTTGCTTTGTCCAATGCATGAATAGAACACATGCTGCTGTTTAGTGTGTGGAATTGTTGATGCATATTAAATGCTCTTTAGCAGGAAATGTTCAATCAGCACACTGGGAACTAGAGCTGACAATGATTGATGCCTTGCCCTGAACATTGATTTAATTAGAAACAACAACATTGCCGAAAATATATTTAAAGAATTGTTTTGCTAACTTTGCCCCAGGAGAAAAGATGGCGAGAAGCTAACCCGCTCACTGCAAGCCCTCCATGCAGCCATAATGTCCTGTTGCTGGGCAGAATTGGTTTATCGTGGGACTTCCTCCCCATATGCAGGCCCATTCTTGAGAGCTGCTGGTCAATCAGATTGAGCACAAGGATTCAAATTGTTACGTGCTGAAAGATTTTCAATCAATTTGACAATGAAATTACTTAGAAATGTTGGTTTGATTTATTTATTTTCATGTGTATTTTGTCGCCTCTTTCTAGCGCCATCTTAAAACACACAAAAATAAACCAAAACGTAGAACGTAAATGCAGAAAAATGGCAAAATAAATAAAAAACTAATTTCAACTTTACAGTCCTTGTTAAGTGCTGAGGGGGCATTCGTGTTAAATGGGCCTGGAGCAGCCAGCCACGGGTCTCTTCACCGCGCTGTCAGATCATGAGTCGCCACTCTCCGGTGCCATCTTGTCTCCACTGGCACTGCCGCCACCATGAATTCTCGCTGAACCTCGCCAACGCAACCGCCACCGATGCCACCGGGATTTCTACAACCCAATCTAATTTAAAAACAGCTTTATATAATTTCAAAAAACTAATTTTCAGGATTTTAAAATTGGGTTACTCACAATGCAGGAACACTGATTTGTCACTCTTAAGTGTGCCAAGGGAATTTTTGTTTTAGTTAGCAAATTTTGACAGGTATATTTTTAAAATGCCACTCTGCTGTGATAGACTTTTGCCTCCAGTGATACCCAACCGAATGAGCAGTAGCTTGTCGAAGAGGAGGGAAAAAAGACTCTTTTCAAAATAGATATAATTTGTAGTGCTATTTTTACCAGGATTGATGATTGGATCCAAGTGAGCATTGCCCCATTGTACTGAAAGTTCTTTTAATCCCTACCCATTGGGTAAAAAGGTGAATTTAAAAAGAGCCACAGAAACAATGGGTCTACATGCTGATTGAAACAGGATGAATGGAAAAGCTAAAAGACAGTGACAGATTTTGGCAAAATGGAGAGGCAGGAGTAGGGAATAATTAGAAGAGTTCTTTACTCAGTTCTGTGATGTGTAAAGCACAACACTTTCAATTGTTCATATCAATTCACAGGAGTAAGTTATTCCATTTAAAATAACTGATTCCAGTCACAGGAACCGTTCTGCATATTCACTGTAAAATTAAACAAGTTTTTAAAAATATATATTTGTGGCTTCATCACACCAAGGACAACTTCAGTCTCTCTTCGCAAAGACTGAGGAAACGTTTAAGTGAAACACAGGAATATTAAATTGGTGTGCAACAGCAAATGCTACTGCCTGTTTATTTAAATTAATGTACATTCATGTGTAAATAAGCATAAATTGTCCATGAGTGTCAATTCTTATGAAGTAAAACCTTCAGGCTACATGAGGGAACAACTAACACCAACAAATCAAAAGTATTTATGGCCATTCTAAAGATTCAGAGTCAGGATTGTTCATGAATTCTCTAACACAGAGATTTGAGGATGATCAGCTGTTGAATATATTCAAGGCAAATACTAAGGCAATTAAAGATGGGGGGAGGGTGGGAAAAATACAGAAAATGAAGTTGTGGTACACAAGTAAACATGATCGGGTTAAATGGCCAAGGACCAAATATCATCTTCCTGCTCCTCTTTCTTATGGTCTTTTGAGCTACTCATCTTTAGAATTATGTTATTCCTTTATGATAAGCACCCATCAGTAACTTCAAAATTTTCCAGTGTCTCTGTCTACTTAAAGTTTCCAATATAATTCTAATAGTCCACGCCATTCTTTATCACACATATACCTTTACACTTCTGTAAAGAATATTCTACATGATCTTTCCTTCAGTGCATCTTAAAATATGACACATTACAAATCAGTAAGGAATTTCCTCAGAATTGTTCCCACTGTATTGCATGTAGCATCATCAGTATTATGGCAGACAATCCGCTTATGCATGCCAACATTATTCTTGCAAACTCTATTCTTAAATCACAGAGGTGAACAGGCTACAATCTGGGAAATTCCCTGCCAGGGTATGGAAATGAATAGCAAAAGAAAAAGCATGTTAACAAATAAAATCAGGATGCCATGTTATCTATAAAGTGGTTTGGAGTTGCAATCACTGTCATAACATCAGAAATAAGGGAACTTGCTCTTGAAGTGGAATAAGTACACATAATTTATGTCATTGATTGTTGGTTGAGGAACAAACATTAAGCCAAATACAGTATTGAGAGAATTATTCTGCTTTACTTTCCATACCATCTTGAGATTTTTTGCATCCTGAGAGAGTTGACATAGCCTCAATATAATCAAAGATGGCACTTCTAACAATACAAACTTCCTTTGCATTGCACTGACACATCAGCCTTGATTAAAGCACTTGCCTATATGGAGTGGCTCGAACCCATGCATTTTCAATTCAAGTTAAAGGATTAAACCTGAGCTGAGTTCCAGGAAAAGGATAAAAAATTTACTCAGCATCTTTGTTATGATGCATGACCAGAGCTCTGAAGTTTTATTTTGTCTCTCAGGTATCAAAACTGACAGTTAAATAGAAAAATACACATAGCTATCAGAAAAATTCGCACATCAGGGAAGACAGAATTTAGTCAATGCATCAGGATTAAACAAACCTGTCTCTGGAGACAGAGTTACGATTCACAAATCCTCAGTTACTTGGTGATTATGAACTTTGTTCTACAAGGAGCTTTGACTATGTTGTGCAGGGAATCTGGGGGTCTTCCTTCTCTCCATCTGCAATTTGATGAAGAAAAGAAATAAAATTAGAGCAATGGGATTTTGGTAAACATTCTAAACAGATAAGGAATATTATGTTACCATAGAGAAACATTGTTGTAGTAGGTAGCACTATTATTTTAAATAAAGAAGGGGAATATTGTTGACTTGAAGTAATAGTGGAAAATAAAAGACCAGGCGCCCTTTATACATCTCTCTTGATCTTCTTGTTGAATGAAATTATGGAAACATTTGCTAATTTTTCACACATTTGATAAACATCTGTGCCCCAATCCGAAATCAGCTCACTAATTACTTGAGATACTCAAAGTGAATTGATACAGGTGTCAGTTTGGTCAGTTTTCTTTTGCTCCCAATACGAATATTGTTTTCAAGAAATTACATGGCACAAAATCAGTCACACTTACTATTTTAGTTGGCAGTTACTCAAGTTGACAAAATCAGAGCACTTACCCCCTAGTTTTGGGGGAAAAAGGTATGTTTTAGCCCTCAGTTGTGTAAGGTCTTTGCATAATCTGTAATTTATTGACTTCTGTTAGCATTAGACTTTCTGAATCAGCATTCCAAAGCTGCCCAAGAGCATCTAAAAATTGTGAATCTATGTAAGGAATTTGGAGATGGAGGTCTGTGCTCCAGCCTAGTTTTCTGGACGTAATTTAAGAAGGATAAAATCATAGGCACATGGACCTCTTACTTATCAACTAAAGTCCTAATATAACAACTTCGTCAAGAACACTATTTCATATTTTTTTCCCTGTACAGGGATTCTTGAACTAGTCATATGTATCTATAATTTATTCACAACCATCATTCATGATAATTGATATAAAATTATTTATTATGTCTGTCACTTACTGATTTCCCTGTAATATTGCTGCTAAGTCTATCCATCCATTTTGCATTCAATTTCATAGAATTAACAGTTTACCCTTTCTAATTTACTTTCACTTTCAGTCTGATAAACTAGGAACTTCTTTAATATTTAAAAGATATTTGGACAGGTACATGAATAGAAAAGGTTTAGAAGGATCAAAAGCAGACAGATGGGACTAGTTTAGTTTGGGAAACTGGGAATGGCATGGACAAGTTGAACCAAAGGGTCTGTTTCCGTGCTGTATGACTCTGACTCTATAATCAGACAGTGAAATTGTTTCCTTCTAAATTGGAACAGAACAAAAGGAACAGTGAGTGCTTTGATCTGATTTGATTGTTTCTTAGGGTAATATTATGACCTAATACATATTAACAAAGTTTCTTCTACCCAGGAACAGCAGCAGTCTAACTCTGGTCAGTTTCTACACAATCCCTTTTATTTACATTACAATACATACTCTATTGTGACGTTGCACATCTCTCTCTGGGATAGTCTGCTATTTTTGTCTTCGCAGAGTCTAACACATGACTACGAATGTCACTCTTACATCATCACACACAACATGATATACAAGACTATCTCAGACAAAAAGAAACAAGTAATGGCTTATGTTCAGAGGAAAGGTCATCGGACCTGAAATGTTAACTCTGATTTCTCTTCACAGATGCTGCCAGACCTGCTGAGCTTTTCCAACAACTTCTGTGTTTGTTCCTGATTTACAGCATCTGCAGTTCTTTCGGTTTTTATGGCTTATATATTAGTCATTCAAGAGCTGTCCTGTTTTAAAAGCTGATAAAATTAAGGACCAAGATGAAAGCATCTGACCAGCTGCCATGTGCCTTCCAGCAGAAGCAATCTAGAGGGGAATACTTATATAGTTATCCATAAATGTAAGTTGTAGTCTGAACTGTTCAAATAAAACCTACAGGAAATTTTCATGTAAACTGCAACCACACTACTCAATCTGTGCTATTTAGTAAAAAGACAAGAAATACGACATTAGCAGCACAGGGTACTTTCTTAAAGGAACAAAGGCAGTAGTTGAGTTTGAAAACTACAGAAGACCTTACATCAGATGTTTGAATCAGTGCAGAAGTTACATTTACACTGGGACCACAGAGGGAAAAAAAAACACTACAAGAGTAGTAAGTACTTAATTTATAATAAAAAAAAAGTTTTGTGGATTCTGGAAAATAACGACAAGATTACTGAATAAACATAGCTGGGTTGGCAACATTTGTGAGGAGAGAAATGCAGTTACGATTTGAGTCCAATATAACCATACTTTGGAACCGATTTGCTGTGAGAGTCTGCTAAGGCAGAGAATTGGTTTCAAATTGAGCTGTGGACAAGGCAAAAAAAAAGAGCCACAGCTGAAAACAGCAGACAGATTTTTTTCTTGAAAAATAGAAGAATCATGACAGCTGTATTGTTGAATGACCACATGGCTTAACCTTATGCTAGCACAGTAAACCTATTATACATCCACTGCATAACAACTGAATTTGCAAAAGGCAGGGGTCATTAGAAATGTTATGACCAAATACAGGAGCACGAATTAGCAGGACACAGGTGTTCCAACCTGAATTTAGGCCCTGTAAATAAAGGATGGAGCCAAGCTTCTCAGGATCATTTGTTGCTGAACTAGATAAATAAACAGTGAAAATAAAAATTGCCTTTGGAAATGAGGGATTGCACAGAATCAATACTTAAGACCCGTCTCAACATGAAATGCTGGAAAATAAGCTTTGTGTAAAAGTGAACTTTGGAATTTTTTGCCAATCAAGAGCTGAGGTCTGGTAGGCAACACAACAAAGATCAATTGCTCAGATTGTCACAAGGTGCACACCAAAGACAAGTACTGCAATGTTTCAGAGACTGAGCTGACTGTGTGCAAAGTACAGCTGGTTATAGCTTCAATGCCTCTTGAAACTTTTCGGGAAAATATCTTGCAGAAAAAGAAATTTCACAATATTGTCATACCATTTAAAATTAGCAAAACACAGTCATTGTAGTCAGACAACATTTGCAATCTTTAGGTTAAGTTCCTTGAATCGGCACATTGCCTAGGATGCACAAAAAACGTCAACTGTATGGGAAACATGACTTACTGTGCCACAGTGAATCTATCCTGCAAGAGATCTTTGCTAGAGATGTCTACAAAAGGACACTGGGCTCACCTGTACAAGAAAATCTGCATTCAAAGATTCAACCAGAGATGATAGTAGAATGCAAACAAACAAAAAGATGATGGTACATCCTAGCAGTAACAACAAGGAATATATTAGAGACCCTCATACAACACAAGCTTGTGCATGAGATTAGCTGCACAAGTTATCAGGGGAAAGATTCAGGCTTTCCTCTTTGCAAATGTGAGATATTGTGTAATCAAAGTCAAACATTTCAAAGCTTTCGCCATCATATGCCCAATGAAAATTGGCAAACCACATACTCAGGATCAAAGTCAGCACGGAAGCTAGGACAAACATCCTGCCAGTCAGAATGCTGAAAGATATGTATCTGGATCATTGGAAGTCAGTAATACAACCTACTTTAGAAAAAGATGGATATGGTGATGGCAAATCTGCATAGAAACCACAAGCATTCCACCAGGATCACACAAATAGACTAGCAGGAATAATAGCGTGTATGGATCTCAATATTGTGACCATTCACAAGATCACCTAGATACTAAATGCTACAGAATAGCACAAGAATACTCACAGTCAGTCAGTTCAGGACTGGCAACAATTGTACCCAGACATAGGGAACTTCAAATCTGATGCTGTCTTGCACCTCAGAGAAGATGCAATCTCATCAATCAACTCTCCCAGAAAGCACAGTGATCACATACAAGTAAAGCTGAAGTGTAAGATGGATGATACGTTATGCAATAGCATTATCCTAAGTGTATATCAACACAAAGACTGTAACAATCCATCAAGTATGTGCTGAGGAAAGATAACACATTCAGGGTAGGCACAGACTCAAAATGTCTAAACACAAATCTAAAGGCTTGTCCACAAAGAAATGAGAAGAACTAAAATATACATTTACTCATGTCGGCAGCTTATTGTGAAGTGTTCATCTTCAACAGCAAGCAGTTGCAATTGAATAGGAACACAGAAGCAGAATAAGCCATTCAACCTCTCTATCATTCTAGATCATCCACCTCAACACCATATTTCCACACAATCCTCACGTCCCTTGCTATTATTAGTAACTAGAAATCTATCGATCTATCTCTTGAACTTATTTAATGACGGAGCTTCCAATGCACTCTGGAGTACAGAATTCCAAAGAGTCACCACATTCTGAGTGAAGATTTTCCTCCTCATCTCAATCCTAAATGTCTTAGATTTATACGGAGACAGTGACCACTGGTTCTCGACCGCATAACCAGGGGATCATCAAGTCATTATCTTGAAAGATTGCTAATAAGCTCTTCCTGGTCATGTCAATGCTGTCATATTTCAAAGCGAACTTCCGAGTATCTTTACTTTGTACTGCCCTGGAAGACTGCCCATTTGAGAGGTAAGAAACAGGACTCATGACGGAGACACTTTAAGGCCATTGGGAGAACGTGTGGCATCCATTGTTGTTGACTGTACTGGAGTTTTGCCTGGAAGCTTGTAGAACTGGCTTCAAGAAGGATATTAGCATTTGTTTGGCAGTGATGCCATTGAATCTGGAGAACGTTGCAAAAGCATTGCTCATCGAATTTCTCTAGTACTACTGTGTGTCTTATTGCACACAAGGATGTAGTGATGACAACTGCCCTACTAAGACTTCTGTTGACACATGGAGTCTTTATTGTTAAATTCTCATTGCAGTTTGTAGATGACTGAACAGGCACAGACCAATTTGCACCACACAGCAGAAATACAAGGTTTTGCTGCTGAAGTGGAATATTTAAACATTCTAACATATTGATGAGAAATTCTTTCTTGGCATCTGGGATTTATGAACCATTATTCATTGGAAGATCTTATGATTTTGTGCAGAATGGCTAGTGTGAAAAATGGTCAAATTAATAAAATGATTTGGATGAAGGAAAAAAGAGCGAGATGTCGGAGTTTGCTGGTTTTACTAAGTTAAGTGGTGCAATAAATAATATAGATGG